TATTGGTCCAAGTGGCTTGCTGCCACAAATTTTTTCAGATGCTGTTTCAATGGCATGTAGGCTTCAATTCGGTGCCCAACTTCATCGTGGAAGGTGCACCGGTATCGTTCATCATATCCTCTCTATGTTTCACCCAATTTGGCTAGCTGCTAAACAAAGAGTTCATTACGTATCTCACTGGGGATTCGGTAGATGGGTTTCTTAAAAACTGTTGTGATGGAGATATGAACCTTCAACTTCCTCGTTTTGGATTCTTCATCATTTAGCAAACCGCCACGATTATTGTAGCTCGATTTTCCTTTCTTGTTGACCATATTTACCTTAGCTATGGACTTTTTATCTGATATCGCTGTTGTACCAGACTTTGCCTTAGCGCGGGCACCATTCTCTTCCACCCTAATATATTGATACACTATTTCTATCAGGGTTTCCACGGTAATGAGTGACGTCATGGTCATGACATCCCTCAGTCTGTGCCTAACTAGGGAGTTCGCGCTTATACTGGGCAATAGCTAGGTTGGTAGGACACTCGCCTATTTGGTTGAATGACTCCCAATATCGGTTGTTATAAGACTTCAGTGTTTCCTTCTTGTCCATGTCAATGGCGAGCAATTCATTGACCTCCACAGACGTCTTGGTGTTTGTTATGAACCTGGTGACAAACGCCTTTGCGAGTTGTGCCCATGAGGTAATGTTGCCCTTTAGCAATCTCTCAAGCCAAGTCAAGTCTAGGTCGCCAAGGCTTAATGGAAACAAGATGCACATCAAGTCATTATTCCGCCTGTGTATAGCTATCAATTGTTAAAAGTGGTTAATGTGCATGTAAGGATCTGACTTCTTGTCATAGATTGTGCGTTCTCTATGGCCAAGACAAACGGAGAACTCTGCAATCTTGCTAGTGCTTTGTCTGTTAGCTCATATGCAAGATGTGACGTTGGCATTGCAACCTCAACACTTCCATGCATCCTATGAGTCTATCGCTACAAAGCGGATACCCTTTGAAGGTCCTGCGCCTAGGCAATTTCTTTTTTTCGTGCCCTTTCTTCCAAAATAGTTTGCAAATAGTCTGATCTGGACAACTCAGTGTATTGCAAAGATGTTTGATGAGAGTGCGAGGGTCGACAGTTGTTCCCCTCAGTGTATGACCTTTCAGATCTCATCCTCTCAGAACTGGAGTAATGAGTTCTGGAAGTCCTTGACTGGGTGTTGCCTGTCCTAAGTCTACTTCTAGACTGTGTTGGTGTGGCATATCCATCTTGATCCCTAGAGGGACGAGATCCTGTTTGTCTTTCATGGATCTCCACCCCAATTATGCCCTTACCTTTTACATAGCGCTTTAATGCCTCCATGTCTGTCGCCTTCCTCCGTATCAACTCGTCTTGCTTTCTTACATGATCCTTCGGAACCTAGGTATCTGTTTGTCACCTTTGTCCATTTGGGTTACGAGAGTGGCGATGTCTCAAACCCCGCTTCTTTCGCGCATCCTTGTGAGGGTTCCGTTGTTGAGGGTCTAAGTCCGCCATGGGGGGGTAGGAGGCAAATCCTCATGCCTCCTATTCCCTTCTGGCATTTGGCTATCAATGGCGGATTGCGGCAGATCGTCGTTATGCACCATTAAATCTTGCTGAAGAAAAACTTTATCAAAAGCTAAGTTCTCTGTGGTTTCCATAGACGACGCCATTTGTCCGAGTATAAAATAAGCCTCACTCGTATAATCATGTCGATCAAGCTTGTGCTCCTCCAAATGTCGTCGTATCACCTAAAAACACAAACATAAGCTAGCTGGCGGGTGTGTGCCGGAAACCCTGCTGATGCCTACGTTAACAAATAGACTAAGGATGCAAAAACTATATGAATTTGGGAGTAAGAATTGCAATACTTGAGATTAGGGTTTGATTTGAACTTTTGTAGTTTCTGCATAACACAGTCTTAGTAGGACTTGAACTTCCTTTGTAGAATCCTCCTAGGAATCACATTCTTGAAGGATAATGCTTATCCTTTAATACCCTTCTCACTGCAAGCCAAGTGAGATGCCATAACTCTTTGTTTAGCTTTCTGTCGGGCAACCGAACTATCTATACTCTGTTTGCCATTGGCTTAGCTATTCAACACACAGCGTCGGGTCAAGATTGCACGGCGTGCCGCCACGTTAACACAACTCGACACTGCTTCTAGTTCGGTCAAAGCTTCTCTTAGCACTGTTTGACTGACTTTCTTATTGCTCGGTCATGTCATTGATCGCCATTCTGAAGTAGCTAAGTTTAAAAACATGGGCATTTGCCAGCCTGGTCAACCATTTTTGACCGATCTAGCCACTGCTCGGTCCAAACAAGGCTATCTTCAAGACATAGCTCGGCCTATTGCGCGGCCCAAACAAGGCTATCTTCAAGACATAGCTCGGCCTACTGCGTGGCCCAAGCCTTGAAGACACTTCCAACTAGCTTGGCCCAATATAATTACACAAATTACCCTCACAATATATAAGAAATAATAACATAAAAATAGTGAAACACATATCATAATAAATAACATTTGTCAAAGCCATTGGTCTACATTTAAAGTTATAATTGCATTTTGTTGAATATGAATCAAAATTTCATAGTGGAAAATATGAAATGCCCAAATGGACCAAAAAAGAAAAATAACAAACGTCTACGTGGATTTTAAGTTGAAATCAACCAAGATAAAAGGACAATTTACGCCCCAAAAAAGAGAAAAAATCACTAGAACCAATGCAATGCCCGGACCCAACCAACCACTATTAGACCTGGGTATATTTGATTGGAAGGATTAAAGTATGGGATTGAGATTATTAATTCGTGGGTCCAATCATCTTATGTTTGTTTTGACATTTTAGTTTAGGATTATTAATCCAATGGATAATTAATCCAACAAATTTGTAAGATTATTAGTAATGGAGTAGGGGTGGGATATTTAGTACCACACTAATTTGATAGGATTATTAATACCTCACTATTAGTGTTGTGAATCAAACATGACCTAATTGTTTTATTCCAAAAGTGATGAATCTCAATTCTGTGTCACACATTTATCTATAGTGTCCACATCGTTTTGAAAAGGAAGAGAAAAATTAAAAATGATATTGTTTTGATTGTATATTATAGACAATGTATTACAAAATATTTGAATTCGAAAAGGACAAGATTAAACTATTTTCATATAAATTATGTTGGTTGTGTAACACAACTAAACGAATCCCCTTCACGGTATTAGAAAATTCAAGAAAAAATTACAAATCAAGCGACTTTTTAAAAATAATTACATACACATAGAAAGATTTTTGACTTTAATAATAAAAGTTTATGAATTTCACCGTTAATTTTTAATTCAACAATGCTACAGATCATTAAATTTTTATCACTAACACCACCACTAATGATGTGACAAGTAAAAAAAAAAAACAAAAATTAAGACACAAAACACATGTAGCAGTGGGTAAGACCCACGGCCACATCCCTAATGCAATCACTAATTAGTGGTATGCATCATTTTTCTTTTTAATTTATTTAAACTGACTTGCTATTTCCTTGAATTCCAAGGGAGTTGGATTTCCAATCAAATCCATGGATGAAATTACCATCATATCCTCATTTTACAAAAATAATAAAGTTATCTTACACCCTAATCCTAACTTACTAATAAAGCTATACCACTACACAAATAAATATAATTTATCTTATATCTTTAACATAATATCATCACATTATTAATTTCTAAAAAATTAGTAGGTGCCTGGGTTTGCTTAAGTAACTTTTTTTTTTTTTTTTTGTTGTTTATTTTCGTCTTTGGTGAATATATTTTTTTAAAAAAATTTCAAATTCTAAATTCAATTCAATAAGACAAATTTAAAAATTAAAAAATTTCAAAAATAGACTAGAAAAGACAAAAGTAAATAAAAAATAATAAATAAATTCCAAAGACAGAGTGCCATTTTGGGAACATGGTAAAAAGTCACGTTTTGCCAAAAACGCCAGAAAAGCCATTTGGCAGGTGCCAAAAACGCAGCCGTAAAATTACAAATTAGGGCCTATGAAAAAAAAGTAAAAAAATAAATCTGTTATGTTGGGTAAGGGTATTTTGGTTATTTTAATTTGATTTGACACCATAAATAAATATTAAACTAAAAAGCAAAAAGTCAGCTTTTTACCAATTTCTCAAATCACTTCTAAAAAAGTCAAAAAGCTTGATAAAAAGTCAAAAGTCAGCTTTTTACCAGCTTCTCAAAATAACTTAGAATCACGTAACACTCTGTGGGTGTTTGGGAAGTGAGTTTTTATGTAGGTTTTTTTGGTTGTAGGATATTATTAGAGAAATTTTTTTTTGTTGTTTGAGAAGATAGTTAGGTTTTTTTTGTAGTTAGATGTGATGTTTGTGAGAAAAAAAGTGAAATGATTATGAGGTTGGATGTGATATTTTGTTTAGATGTGTTTTTTTTTTATTTTGCAAAAACTTTATCTTTTAGTTAAAAAAATCAAAAAAAAACCAAACCCAAAACTTGCAAACACCATTTCTATATACATTATAATTAGTAAAAACAGCAAAAAATTAAAATTTTATATTACATAAATAAAGAATATATAAGCAAACATCAAAATTTATGATTGATTTGAAAGATGGCTAATCAATAATTTTTTTATCAATGATATTATATGGACTAATTAATATATTAATATTAATTATAATATTATTATTGATCTTATTTATTATACAAATTATAAATATTAAAAATATTTTAAATTATGTTACATTATCAATTAATATATTATTTAATAAACTAATTTGTACATGCATTATTTTTTTTCCTATTGGATCTGTGTGCAAGACCGAATCATTACCTTAAACCGCGTGTTATTCAAAAGACCGACGAGTATAATGTTAGCGTACACGCTCGCGCCGCGCGTACCATTTTCACCGACTCACTTTTAAAATTTAAAATTCAAAATTTAAAAAATTTAATTTAACCAAAGCGGTGTATATATATTATATACACCTCTGTATCTCTCTCTCTTTTACAGTACATCGTCGCCCCTAAATCCAGTCCTTGAATCGCTGTGCTGTGTCTCGATTTCTAGAGAGAGAAAGAGTCAAGCACCTCTTGTTCGAACATCAATGCATATAAATCCAAAAACAGAGCATCTGATCCATTATACGAACGAAACCATAAACTGAACATGTATTCATAACCAAATTGATACTAACCTTGATCATCCAATCCTACAATCGTACAGAAAGTTGAAAAAAACTGATTTGAACTAGTTATAATCCGGCAAATGTAACAACCGAACACACTCCTCTTCGTCGTCTTCACACGCAAACCACAGAACCAGACTCCAACAGCAAGGACGAAACCCTGGCACAACCAATCCTTGCAACGAGCATGCAAAACATAAACGTATCTCTCGGAATTGGATTGATGATGAAAAGCGTAAAATAGAAACTGCCAAACTGCATGAACGAAGAAACAAGCACCTTTTACGTATTAACACTGTACATATATATATATAGGGGCAAAATAGTCCAACAAATTATATTAAGGGTTGGTTTGGGATGTTCTAAAAAAGTACACTTTTTGACTTATTGGCTTTTATGGGTTGGGTTTGGGTTGGGTTTGATGTGATGTGTTAGAGAGGTGATGTGATTTAAATAAGATGATGTGACTTAAATAGGATAGTGACTTTTTGACTTTTTGTATTATTTAGTAGATGCCAAACTTGGCCTAAATTAGAAAAATGGACCTTATGGAATATCCAGAAAAATTTATGGGACTAATTAGGTTATAATATTTTTTAATAGACCTAATGGGTTATAACAATTCTAGAATGGATTTATCAATAAAAATCTCTATTTTAAATTATGTTACATTATCAATTAATATATTATTTAATAAACTAATTTGTACATGCATTATTTTTTTTCCTATTGGATCTGTGTGCAAGACCGAATCATTACCTTAAACCGCGTGTTATTCAAAAGACCGACGAGTATAATGTTAGCGTACACGCTCGCGCCGCGCGTACCATTTTCACCGACTCACTTTTAAAATTTAAAATTCAAAATTTAAAAAATTTAATTTAACCAAAGCGGTGTATATATATTATATACACCTCTGTATCTCTCTCTCTTTTACAGTACATCGTCGCCCCTAAATCCAGTCCTTGAATCGCTGTGCTGTGTCTCGATTTCTAGAGAGAGAAAGAGTCAAGCACCTCTTGTTCGAACATCAATGGCGTTCGTAGCGTTCCTTGGGAGACTCCTTTTCGCCTCTGTCTTCATTCTCTCTGCTTGGCAAGAGTAAGCTTTTCACTCTTATTCTTCACTTTGTTCATCAGATCTTCGAATTTCTCTCTCTTCGTGTTTATATGTACGTATGTATGTATGTATGTATTTTTCAACGATTTGTTCTGTGTGTTTTACTAATATATATATATATGATCGTATAGGTAAGATGTTAGGGTGTTTTTTTTGCTACTTTCAGTAAAGTTTTTATTATTATTTTTCGTATTTGTGGGGTTGGATCTGACGAGTTTGAGATTTTGCATGGGTTTTGTAGTAGATTTCGAATTGAAACTCTACTACACATTGGATCTCGTTAATTTTCCCCTTAAACTGTTAAACTTTGTAAAAAATATTTGAGACACCTAATTTATTACCTTTAAAAACGACCGCTAGATGTGTCTTACAAGTGTCAATCATTAGGGGTGTTAAATTAATTAGGGGGTGTAGCATTGTTGCGGAGGTGGCTTTGTCTTTGAGAGGTAGTTAACTTTTGGGGATTGGTGGTTGTGGATCCTGGTGGAATGGTGCTGTTGGTTAGCCATATGGGTCTTTATTTATTTATTTATTTATTTATTTTATGTCCATGTTATGTCATTTCGTAGGTTTCTTTTGCTTCTGTGTGCCTTGCATCGTGTGATATATGGAGATGAGTGTTTTTCTAAAATATTAGGGTTCCTTTGGTTACACAGAAGCTGTGTTAGGTGGATTTAGAGCATCTCCAACGGTTCACCTAATTTTTCATCAAATCTGAGTAAAAAAATGACCATTTTCTTAATTTGATACAGAATGCTCCAATGGTTGATTTTCATCAAATCTGCTCCAGGAACAACCGGTTGGTTGACTGGTAAGGCAAAATTTTTTTTTTTTTTTTTTTTTGGAATTGTTTGAACCTACTTATTTGAACTGTTTGAACTTTTTAGTGGTCGGCCGGTAAGGCAAAAATATATATATATTTTTTTGAATTGTTTGAACCTATCCATTTGAACTTTTTCGTGGTCGACTGGTTGGTCAACCAGCCGGGCAACCAACTGGTTGACCTGTTCTCAGTTTGATGATTTTTTTGTTTAATTCTCAATTTGATACCAGTTTGGTGAAACCGTTAGAGCTTCAAAAAGTGATTTTTTTACCAAATTTCAAATTTGATGCCAGATTTGGTGAACCGTTGGAGATGGTCTTAGGTGTGAAGGGTCGGAACATTAAACTCCTAATTTTAAGATATTATGGGTATTGGATTACGTCATCTAATTGGAAATTTTTTTGTTAATACATGAAGATATGTGCAGAAGTAAATTTTTTTTTTCTTGATATTTCATTATACACAATGATTTTATTATAATTTTAATATATTGGCAACTATGATTATTTTATTCCAAATTTTATTTTTATTCCTCAAAAAAAAAAAAAAAAAAAAAAAAAAAAAAAGAACAAGAAAAACTAAGAAGTAGTATCTCTTTTAAAATAGAAGGTTTGGATCCATATCTAGTTTTCCATTACCCATGTCATGTTGCATCAAACTGAAGTCCATGTAACATGGTATAGAAGATTGCATGAGTTGGAGAGATACAAATGGGGAGAGGGAGAACTCCTCAAGTTGTGTGAAAGAGCTATTTGCATGCATTTTGTTTTTCTTTTGGATGATGTGTGAATTCTGAATGCAACTCATAACTGCTTTCCAACTGGCCTTTCTATGTGGCCAACTTGGTGCCTGTTTTGAGATTTTTAGAATCATTTTTTAGCTAAATTATCAACCCAAATTTTAAACTGCTAATATCAAAGTACAATTCTAAATTGTAGTTATTATTATTCTATAATATTATTAAAAATATATTTTATTATTGTTGTATTGTTGCCATATGGCCTGTACCAATATCATTGTTTTTTAGAGTTTAATGTAATTCCGTGCCCATATCCATACACATATCATACTTGTAAGTTGCATCTTGTATCCATATTTGTGCTTCCTATAATGGAAGTAATTGATAAATCTGTACTTTTGTATGAAATGTGGCTTCTATTGTATTACGTGTAAGGAAAAAAAAGGATATTTTGATTGGTCAATTTATTACTAGTTACATCGTCAAGTCCCCAACATTACATGGATATGTAGCAGGGCACTGAATGCATATGCTATGTAGTCTATGTGATTAAAGTCAGAAATGATGTAAGAATATTTAACTGTCTTTGTGTATTGAGTAATCCCCTGTCTGATCTTTTTGTATGTGCTGTTGTATGTTGCATTTCCAGCTCACTCATATGTGATCGATGAACCGTGATGTGCTTAAAATATCAAAACCGGCTACATGATAACAAATTGAAAGAGTGTAATTAGTCAGGACTGAATTGCGTTTGAAAGTTTTTGTTTTTGAATTTGAGTTGAAGATGCTTTTATGGGAAGAACGTGGTTTATTTTAGTTCTATGCTAGTGTATGGGCAGCATTGGAGTTGTTTTTCTAAGTGATTTATTTATTGGTATCTTGAATCAAAATGCTCTCCATAGCTGCTCCGAGTTATTTGTTTAATACTATTATTGCTTTTGCTAATCTTTATGTTGGTGTAGTCTGCTGTGTAGTATATACCTGCATGTAATTGGTGTTTACTGCTGTTTGTTGAGATAGTCAACTTAAGTACTTTCTACTTATAGAGTAAGTGGTAGCTTGCTATTTGATGTATTTTTTCTTCTTGTTGGATATCACATTTATTTTAGATATTGATCCAAGGAGTTACTTTTTTTTGAGAATTTATATGGTGGTGGTTGTCAACATTTTACTTTATTTATTTCCCCCCTTGCCCCAACGGGATAATGATGTTATTGTTTATGAATAACAAGTTAGAGGAAAAGGCTGTAAGCAGCCTAACAATGTTAATTTCTTACAAGTTCTGTGCATTCTTACAAACTTAATTGACATACCTTGTTAATGGAAGGCAAACAAGAAATAGAATTTCTGGATTGCTGTATTTAATAATTGTGGACTGTTAGTGATTGATGCATTTGTGACATGGGAACTTCTAACCACACCCATTATGGTGATGAATAGACATTTCCTTCTCTCTCATAAACACTTATTAGGGTGTTTGGGATGGGCTAAAATAGCCAATAAAACAAACACTCCATCACATCATTGTTTCTACCTTTTTGCATATATTTTCATAAAAAGTCAAATAGACTACTAAAATAGCTTATTTCCAAACGGGGACCTTCCTTTTGGAGGCGTATTTAGGGCTTGATAATTGTTTATTTTAACTCTTTCAGTTTTTGGTAGGGAAATGTCCATAGGCCTCTATTCTGAATTGTCATAACCTATTCCTGCTTGTAGGTTTAATGAATTTGGTGTTGATGGTGGGCTGGCTGCAAAGTCTCTGAGACCAAAGTTCAACGTTTTCTCGAATCATGTGTCAATTCAGACTGGGCTGCAAGTGCCAGATGTTGAAGTAAGAATTGTTTGTTTTTCCTTGTCTTTTTATTTTTATCTTCAATGATTGGAATAAAGCTTAGCCATGTGTTTACAATATCAGAAGTAACATAAATTTTTATTGGCAGATCAAGTATCTAGTTGCCGCAACTATAGCTATGAAGGCTCTTGGAAGCCTTCTTTTCATCTTTGGCAGCTCTCTCGGAGCTTATCTGCTGGTCTATATTCTAAACTTATTCACCCTTGATTCAATTTCTTTTAGACAATCTAATCAATTTCATTGACTCTTATTATTTGTTTATTTGTTTTTTCTTGTGCAGCTTCTGCACCAGGCAATTGCTGCTCCAATCTTGTATGACTTCTACAATTACGACGTTGAGAGCAAAGAATTTTCTACTCTTTTTGTGAAGTTTACACAGGTTAGCCAATGGGACTGTGATAAAGAGGACCAATTTATGGCAAAATATCATTTCAGAAAGTCAAGAGATTGACTCAAAGTTGTCCATCAAATTGATATTTGTTTTTGAACTTGCCACTGATTTATTATTTCCCCGTAATTGGAATTGACTCTGTGAATAACTCATAACATTTTCTTTTGTAGAGCTTGGCATTGGTGGGGCCATTGCTCTTCTTTATTGGAATGAAGAATTCGATGCCAAGGAGACACAAGAAGAAGGCTCCCAAAACTAAAACAGTTTGAGACAGAATGAAATGGGTTTGGCTTGTTTGTTTGGTACATGTTATTCACAATGCTAAAGTCCATGGATATTGCACGGGGATCGAGTTTTGTATGCTTGTAGCGTCGAGGAGGCAGTTTCTTTGGTTTTCATTTTCTTCTATTTTGGGCCTAGTTAACTTACTTTCTAATGTTTAGGGTGTGATTTTCTCATTGTGATTTATGGAAATTTTGAATTGAGTTTTAGAGAAATATAATGTATTCTAGGTTTTACATAAATTCTTTTTGTTTGAGGGTAAGGTTACATCTTATCAACAACCCATCACAACAAAACCACACATAAAATTTTTTACCATGCACTTCGTCACATTTAAACAAATCTATCTCTATTTCTCGTTCCTCCACCGCCTACTATGCAGATATAAACAATCAAACATACATATATATATATATATATACATACGACATGCAAGTAGAGTGTATGTGTATGTGTATGTGTAAGCAAGCTTTTAGGATTATGTCTGCTACCTATTGAAGCATATGACGATCAAAAGAAGACATTGAAATTGGATGAATCCAAGAAAGTAAAGTCTTCATGAATTCAAAACCTGATCTTTGAAATTGAAACGGAAATTGCGAGAAATTACAGAGTTTGATTTGTTAGAAGGATCAAATTTTGAGATTCTTTTTCATAATTTGCCCATGAAGTTATTACTCTTAAAAAATAGAAAAATAATGAATTTAGTGCCGAATCGGCTCAAAAGAGCCATAAACCATGTTTGCTGGGCCACTCTGAAATGAAATGGGGCGATTTGGACAAACTTAGAAACTGATCATCCAAGTTTCTACATCACTTTCTTTTTGATACATTTTTTAGTCATTTAATCTGATAAAAAACTAGAAGTTACTATCACATGTAATGTCTTACACACACACACATATTGTGTGTTACTCAAGTGGTAAGTGTGTTCATTATTAAATTTTAAGTGTTATGTTCAAGTCTTATACTTTTCTTATGTTGGTATCTTGAAATCTTTAACTCCTTTAATAACTTAACACTTTACACATGCATCATATGTGACAACTAATTGCTAGTAAATGAAATAGCTCTATGAGTGAGAGTGGAAAGAGCATTAAGAGTTGAAACACTTAATTAGGATTGGTGAAATACGGAATATAAATATGAATAATAATAAAAGAAGATAAATTAAATATACATAAAAAATATAAAAATTTACCTAGTTCACCCAAAAAATAAGGTTACATGCATGGCTATTGTAGTTATGGTTAGAGAGTTGTAAGATAAAAAATAGACAGTCTTCCTTTCAACTACAGATACATAAAAAATAAAACGTGTCAAGTGCCTGTAAAGACATTCAAGAGGCCTAATCACTGGGCAATGATTAGAAACCAATCTAGGCAAAACCCACTGACAAATTTTTGTTATTTTTGAAACTATTCATGGGATACCACAGATCTATCCAACCTACTTAACTTCTTGTTATCTTATTATTGGTCCAGGCGAAGCTTCTTCTTATCTATCATAGGTAAATCCTTTAGCTCCATAAATGATACACTTTTTCCCTGTGGTTTCTAAATTAAATTGACTTCTCTTATTTTTGCTAACAAATATAAACATAACCGCTTGGGTAAGAAAGATTTCTTCAGATTCAATCATAGATAAGAGAGAAAAGTAGATGGGTGTTGCGGGAAGGTTGCTACGATGGAGGGGCGTTGTGGTGGACGTAGTTGGAGTAGAAAAGTAAGGAGACAGAACTAGGAGTGGGGATAACTGTAATTGTTGTGTAGAAAGAAAATGGAAGAAAAAGAAATAGGTGGTGGTGGAGGTAGTTGATTGAGGTGGATGGAGGTGCTGGGTTGGTTTTGTAATGGCGGTGGTAATGGGCATGTTTGATGGAGTGGTGCATGGTGGGAGGCTGATTCTGATAAGGGACAACAATATCATTTCAGAAATGACAGGAGAGATTCTTGTAATTGTCAATAATTCGTGTAATTTGCCCTAGGGTTAGATGTTGTGGTCCCGAGCTCAAAGCAATGTGAAATCCCATTGATGGTTTTAACTAGGACTCTAGCTCCAAGACATATCATTTTAATTGTAAAATTTATAGTAATTTGCGAGTGTGTTATTTATTGTTGGAAGGTCAAATTGTTATTATAGTTGGATATTTTGCGGATGTGCACTTGTTAGCTATTAACCCTGTTACACTATAAAATTTGGACAATTAAATATTAAGTTAGGATTAAATCCTAATCAATATTTTATCATTGTAGACACCCTATTTTTGACCGTCCTCAAGACTTGGACGTCACCATTTGAACACTTGGTGATTACCCTTGTTTGTGTTCGTTTGGAGTTCCCGGAGGTCTCGGCTACGCGCCCTGCCTCAGGATCTCCGAACTTGACCGTTTTGTGTCTGGTTTTGCACCAAACACTTGTGTTTTGCCTTGGAGGGGCAGGGAATGCCTTGTGAGGCATCCCCACACACCACCGACAGTGGCTAGAGGTCACCGGCTGGTTTTTGCTGCCATCGGCAATGTATATTGCCGGTCGGCACTATTTGTTGCCGGTCGGCACTCCTTTTTGCCAAAATGACATTTTTGAGCAGCCGACCACTGTTCATCTACTTTATGTACATATTTTGTGCCAGCTGTGATAGCTGGCACCAGCTCTGCTTCCCTCCATACACGTGTATGGAGGGATTTCCCTCTAAGCAAGCTTGTTGTATAAGCTTTGCAAGAACGGGTTCTATAAGAGGAGAGGGCTTCTCCTTGCTCTAGGTTAGAGACTTTGAAGGCAAAACCAGAGCTTCCACATATAGATACACCCTATCTCTATATTTCCCTCTCTCTCCTCCTTTGTGTGTGTTTCTTGGCCTAAAAGTGTGATTTTACCTTACTTTTGCACCAATACACACACTATTACACCTTGCTCCGAGATTGAGGACTTTGAGGGTTGATTCTTGAGTTTTTGGGCTGTTTTTGATCAAAAGAAGGAGGCTGCCTTGGCTGTTCTTGAAGTGTGCTTCAAGGGTGAGCATTTTACTTTAGTTTTCCCAAACTTGCACTAGTCTTTTACCTATCTTACTTGTTGATTTAGTTTTTGTGCATAACATAAAAAAGGCTTGTATTTTCATTCTTAAGAACTTTCATTAAGAGTCTTTCATGGTTTGAGTTCAAACTCACCATCTTAGGCCTTATTTGGCCTTTTTGTTGCCTCTTTGGTAAGGCCTTGTTTGCTTAAGTGTTTTGGTCTTCTCACCACTAAAAACCAGTGGATTTTCAGTGGTGAGGAAGGTAGTTTGAAGTCTTGCATAGGGGAGGGACACCCCTCTCCCTTCATTGTCTCGTTTCCTTACATTTTGGCTTAAAAGGGTAACATGCATGCTTGATCATTTTTGGCCCCATTTCAGAAGTTTTTTGGGTGTTTTGGGTCATATGTGATCTCTGTTTTTGGCCGGATTTGTACCCATTTGTATGCTTAATATACTTGCTTTACATTCCTCCATTTGGCCTAGAATTGTATCTCGTGTTTAGGCCATGATTCTTGTATGTGTTGGCTTGGTTCCATGAAGGTGTTGGCATTATTTTACCATGTTTAAGGTCTGTTGGCCATTTATTTCAGTCATGCTTGCCTTGTTTGGTGTCACCTCTTTGTGTTTTGGCTTGTAAGCCTTGAGCATATTGACTTCCAACATGCATAGCTTAGGCCATCCTCATGATTTACCATCATTTAGGGTCATATTTCAGCCTATGAATCATGCTTGTATGCTTGCATTTGTGACCTCTTCCATGCTCTTAGGGTGTACCCTTTTATGCCTAGAAATGAGTCTTGGTGGATGCATTTCATGGGAGCCACCTAAGCTGTCATATTAGGAGGTTTTGGAGTCCCTTTTTGCATGTTAAAATTCTGTTTCGGCTTGCCCAAGTCCTGCCATGAGTGGTCATGTTGGTGGGAGTGAAGTGCCTCCTTTTTGTGCCTTAACCTTAGGACCATTGGCTTGCTTGTTGGCATGAGTATTGGTCCACCTTTTGGACACTTTTGGCCACTGTTTTGAGGTGGGTTAAGGTCTGCCCCTTTACCATTTTAAGCCACCATTGCATACTTGTTTCATGTTTGATGTATGGTTGCTTCATTAGGTGTTATAGAATGATGATTCTATTGCTTAAATTATCCATATTTACATTGCATTCGCATCTTGTATGCCTAACATTGCATGCTTGCCATACTAGTTGCATGACACTTGGTATGCCTTGTATCTTGATATCATGTTGCATTTGGAGCCATGTGAGCATAACATGAATTACATTACTTGATTTGGGGTGTCAAACCAAGTGTGAGGGTCAAGGAACATTCATACTATGACTGATGTAATGTGCTTTGATTCTCGGTCACCGGGGCCCTTGACTTTGGCATGATAGGGTCTCGGTCCTCATTTGTGTGGTTGCATGCATCTTTACATCAAGTGCCAAATTTGATCCCTTGGGCTATCATGCACCATTGATGGCTCGAGGATCGAGGGCCATGCTTCCCTGAGTTCAACACATAATGGGAAACATGACCATGCTCACATGTGCCTGAAACCCCATGCCATATACTGTCTGTTCTCTGTTGCTGTCAAAACTGTCTCCTGCAGGAAGTTTCTGCCGACCGGCAGAATTCAGTGCCGACCGGCCATTGGTGAATGGCTGATAAATCCAGAACCAGCCGCTGGAAATTATGCACTGCCAGTGGGAATTTTCCCCAGCCGGTGGTATTCTGCAGTATGCAATAAACCTGTCCCAGCACTTTGGAATTTTTCAGAAAGATAGGGCAGTGTAAACAGAGACAGCCTTGGTATGGTACGGACTTTCCGGGCAAGGCGGGTTTGAGCATGCATCATTCGCGTATCTCGAGGCGGAAAACCAGAGCATACACATATAGATACACCCTATCTCTATATCTCCCTCTCTCTCCTCCTTTGTGTGTGTTTCTTGGCTAAAAGTGTGATTTTACCTTACTTTTGCACCAATACACACACTATTACACCTTGCTCCGAGATTGAGGACTTTGAGGGTTGATTCTTGAGTTTTTGGGATGTTTTTGATCAAAAGAAGGGGGCTGCCTTGGCTGTTCTTGAAGTGTGCTTCAAGGGTGAGCATTTTACTTTAGTTTCCCCAAACTTGCACTAGCTTTTCAAGTCCCTCAATCTCGGAGTAAGGTGTAATGGTGTGTGTAATGGTGCAAAAGTAAGGTAAAAA